GTTTCGACGGGTGACGTGCCGAGATTCGTGGGCGGGCTGAGTGAAATCACCGAGCCTTGCGTTCCTGTCTAGTCGTCGGTTGCTCGTTTTTTTGTTTGCTTAGGTGTTGCTCGTGCCAAGTAATTGGTTTTCGGTTTTTCTCTTGGCTCGCGGGGTGTAAGTGGACATTGGATTCTTCTGGGGAATTGAATTTATGTTGTTACTGGGATGCTTCAGTCTGAAGGATGTTAATTTTGACGTGTCTTTGTTAATTATTGTTTCTTTCTGGGGGTTAATTAAAGAATGCTTCCCTTTGTTTGTTATTTTTCACTGGGAATTAGGATCTTGTGATTATGATAAGAATTAGTTGTTGACAAATAAGGTAAGAGTTTAGGTGAATCGTAGCTCAAGTATTATGTTATTGATTGTTATCATTATGATATTTGTAGGTTAAAATTAATAAACTCAATATCAAATTTAATATTTTTTATTGACAGTATTGTGTATGCGATTAATTTAATTTTTCATATCCACAATATTTTTCTAAATTAATTAATTCATGTCCTATTTTACGAATTAATTTTTTTATGTTTATATTCCTTAATCGACTTTTATAAAAATAAACATTGCATTGTTTAAAACATGGTTAGAAGAACGTAATATGGAATTTTCTGGTAGTACTTTAAGAAACCAAAATGAATACTTCTTAAAGGGGAGAAGTTTTGAAGTATCTCAGAAGAAAAAAGCATGGATATAAAATGAAATAAAAGAGTAAAATACAAGGAAGACATAAGATTATCAATAAGAATCTAAATTAATCTTATATTTATTATATTTATTAGCTTTTATGAAACTAATCCTATTAAAAGTAAATGTATGTTCAATTTCAAAGTCATAACAACTGATAACACGTAAAAAGGGGTGTGCAAAGTTGCAAAATTAAAAAACCGTGAAATATCCCTCCAAACAAAGTGTATTCAGGTTTAAAATCAGAATATTCCATAATATCGATCAAAGTAAAAGTTTATCAAATTTCAAAAGCAAAATGATTCGCAGCACCTCTAAAAATGAACATGCTTTGAAACACTGAACAATTATTCTGAAAATCGAAGATAGTCCGGGTATAAAATTGTTACATGACCTTTCTCGAATGGTTTCGGATTGAAACCTATCGAGTTACAGATTAGAAATATTGCGTGACATTTTATCAGATAATGCAGCGTGAACTTCAAAGTGCATCAGCTTTCAAAATGAAGTACAGTCAGTCACAGAAACTTATAATGACCATAACGAAAAGAATTTGTATGATATATTTCCTGACTTCGTATTTCTAACTCATTTATTTACATTTATTGCCAATCAAGAAAGATAAACATAGAATTCTCATTTTTATTTAACATTTGAAATTTAACATTAAACCTACCAGCTGAGTCAAAATGACCCATTCCTGATTTCTTCTTTTTACAATCATTACAATCATGACAGATGTTGCTCCGAGAAATTATTAAAGAATTTGATTTAGCAGTATGCAAACTGAATTGTAAATCAATGTCTCAATAGATGCATCCTTGAAGTTGCTATAGAGAAATTTCAAAAAATTAATTTAACTGCTCGGTAGATTTAGTGCTAAAAGGTACACAAACTTTAACAACAAACTAAATCTTCTACCAAAATGCAAATACCGTTCAAAACCAAAATACCGCGAATTTTATAGTACGAACAATCTTAGACACAAATGAAAATCAAAGTAAATCAAATTTCGTGATAAAAATCACGCAAAATAATGCTAAAAACAAAAGTTCAAGTCCCAGAGATGAATACACTTCACGAACTCGTTGATAATCAATAGAAATCGAATATCAAAGTGCAAATATTCCGGAACATTACGCGGGATTGAATCGTATTGGTTATTAAACAGGAAATGTCGCGGAAATATCGATGCAGTGATTCGTCCGATTTAAAGGTCAAATGTAAATGAAAGTTTACTGTCGGCCAGGGACAAGGATTAAAGGAGTCTCCGGCTGCAAGTAGGTTAACTACATTGTAGATAACGGACCTCGTTACCCGGAGGGGTAGTTAAGGTCTCCGCGGGAGGGAGGGGTCGCCTGATTTATCGATGGGCTCGCAGATTTCCCTATCCCGATAAAGGAAAGTGCATTTCGTCCATTAAAGCGTGCTCCTGCTTCTTCTTTAGAAATTCTTAACGCGTTCGGCCGGACGTGGATGCATTAAAAAAACCGTTCACACTGTAATGATCACTCGTAAATAATTTCTTACCTGCAGTGGAGCCCTTTATATCCGAGCATCCATTATTTTGTTTCGTTTGTTTTTATTCTTCCATTAAAATTCATTGCAGGTCACCCATAAACCTTTTTCTTTGAATTGTGAAAGAAAAATATTTGTTTATTATATTATTTATTTCTATTATTATTATTACACACAAACATTTATTTATTATATTATCTATTTCTATTATTATTATTATTATTATTATAGACAAATATTTGTTTATTATATTATCTATTCACGTTATTGTTACCTGAAAATATTTAATTACTAGATAAAAGTATTATTAAAATATTATTGAACTCTTCTAAATACTTCGTCGTATCGAACTTCGGAGGATCAAAGATACTACGATGTATCGTGGACAATCGTTTTCAGGAAAATACGAGCTCGATGCCGGAAGCTTCGGGATCGGGGGTGGCCGACGAGTCGGATTATTCGGCTTTCGAGAGGAGCGGCCTGGCCGACGAGTCGGATTATTCGACTTTCGAGAATAAAACCGGCTTGGCCGACGACATGAAGTTCCTGGCTCGAATGCCGGAACTTTGCGATGTCACGTTCCTCGTCGGCGATACCAGGGAGCCAGTGTGCGCTGTGAAGGCTGTCCTAGCGGCGAGAAGTAGGTTCGTATCGTACAAATGCAGACTTTTTACGAAATTTCAATATTTAATTGATATACTATTAATTCGATATATTATCGATATATTATTGAACGTCGATATTCAATGAAATATTAATTTCCTCGAAAAGCGATTTTACAAATCCAAGAAGTCAATTTGACAATTAAACACATGAAGGTTTAACAGAACTTTAACCCTTTGCGATCGATGCCGCCACAGTGGTGACATTTGACATTTGTTTTCGAAATCGTTGTCGCCAATATGGCGGCATGTTCTTCTTTTTTAGTATAGTGTTATTGAGAGGTGTTGCATTTATTATTTTTCATAGTATTTATATTCAACAAAACACGTTAACTTTAACGAATTTTTAATATCTATATATTTATTATAAACCACCTATAGAAAAATAACTTTGAAAATATATATATTTCCTTCGACCAGTTGGTACAGTCAGCAAGAAAATGTGCTGATCATAAAGAGTTAAATTGTATCTTCGATTCTATTAACAAAAATAATGTAATTGAATAAATTAGTTCAGTTATTCCAAAATCATATGAAGCTAATGTTAAAGTATAAAATCTTCATTTACCTTGAAATTTAATACGAGAAAATTTCAAGAGTATGTGTAAATACTTTTAGCCGGAGTAACAAAGATTATAGCGATATTTATTGATAATCTGTCGGAATAATCATACAATGGCACAAATGATTGAGTCTCGGTTATTCTAGAGTGTTCCACAAAATGCTCTATCAAGCGCCGAGTCCGCAACGCAAGAAAGACCCACCATCCCGTGATAAGATCCGTATGTTCTTGAAAAGAAGCTCGGAACCGCTGTTGAATCTACAGAATGCGGCGCAACAGGTAATTGCAGTCATTTCAGAACGATTGTTCCCTTGCAATCCTTCTTACTGTCCGTCGACACAGAGTACTTAGGTATACGTCCCAGCACTATGAACCGAAAGCGTAAATGATACAAGTGTAGAAATTTAGATAACAATTTGCAACACGTAGAAGGTACATAGTTTCGATGCCTAGTGATAAAAGAAGTATGCGAGGAAAATGTGTAAGTTGCAGAATGTTCAAAATAGAATTAACATATCTTTTCAGCGATATATACGTATCTACAGTGTTGCTAAAAAATGTTGAGTATTTTCTTTTATAGTTAAAATATTCTGTATAGTCGGCTTCAACTGTTATTTCATATGTTAATTTAATTATTGTACTGGAAAATGAGAATTTCTTTAATTCAGGGCACTCTGCAGGGTACACGTGATTTATTTACCCAAACAAAGTAGTTTACTAATTAATATAGAAACTGAATTGACAGGGATATAATAATTTCGATTGAAAACTTTAACCAATAACATAATAGCTCAACGTAACCGTAATTCTGCAGGATTATTGGACTAAGATTATTATAAGATGATGTGTTACTGAATTCAAACTTAATTTGTATCAATTGAAGCACATTTTATAGATCACGTACATTCGGCTGAACGAATTTTTGACGTTCAGTAACCACGTATCCATCGGTCGCGCGGTTCTATCGAACGTTTGCGAATAGTTATTATTTATATAGATACATGTTTTCTAAGGAATTAGAAATATTTAACAATTTCTTATATTATTTGATATTTACGTATGCGTTTGAAATACTGATGCAACACCAATATCGTGATTCTAATATGTTCCTGTTGTATTAATTATTATTCCATACATACTTTTATTTATTTCAATTATCTCCTTACGTATACTCACATTCGCTTCATAAAAAATAATTTCATCCATCAGTTATGTAATTATATAAAATTTATATAAATTATAATTATACTATAATGTTAATATAATCCTAATATATTGTATTATACAATATAATATCGTATAATATTATAATTATATTCACAATATTGATATTATATCAAAGGTATAATTACATTGCTAAATATTATTAAACATAACATAATATAATATAAATTATATTATTAAATATAATATACAGTACGATATTATTACAATTACAATTTTCTCACATAATTTTTGTTACAAACATAAACACAATATTACATTAATTACATAACAAACAACGCGAAACGCAGTCGTTCCTCTGTCCTCATTTCCGTTTGCTCGTCCCTGTACCATCCACGAATGTCCGTTCGTCGGCACATTCACTCGTCGGATACTTACGATCCACGGGTTTATTTGCCGAACTAAATTTTCGCAAACGTCCGGGAACATTTCGCGCAGCCGGTGGACGGGGTACGTGACCGTACGGGAAACATGGCGTCCCCTAGAGTCGAATGTACACACCGTGTTCGAAACAGACACGGTCATCTCACCGCTGAAACGACAGTAAATGTGCATTTGTTATATGGCGTATAGCGGTCAGGGTACACGCAGCAGTTGGCTACCATTCAAGAGGTACTATGAACGTCACTTCTGGATACGATAATCTTTTTTTTCCTCTCTCTCTCTCACTCTGTTCATACAGCCTTGTACAGTTCGTAGCCTACAGTCTGAATCTTTAAGAAAGAGCTCGCGGAGAGTTAACGTTACACCGCGATCGAATGTCACTTTCATCGATTCTCATTAGGAGACATTCTTGTTTGCAACGATTCCACGAAGAAATCGTTCCTTCCTTCTTCTGTGTCATCCGTGTCATCCGTTCATTCGTGTGGCGTGTAAATAGGCGCGCGACATACAGCGCCGATAGAATTGCATGAGACGAGGTGCGCGCTGGTTATTATGGACGCCATCGCGCGATCTGTGTGATTATATTCCGTTTCGTTTGGTTGTTATTTCTCGTAGCGGATTGTGCATAATAGTCGGACACTGTTTTCGGATCATTCTCTTGCGACACTAGTGCGAAGCGATTGATTGTTTTACTGAAAGATACAGGCATGGGACTTTGCTTTTGTACCGTCATTGGTGTGTCTCATTTGGTAGAAATTGATTCATATTATATGTAGGTATTTGTTAATGAAATTTCGATAGAAGATAGTGAAATTGGTTATCGAACATTGAATAATTTTATGTCTGAGGAAATGCAATAAAAATACTAGGAGGGAAGAAAACTGAATAATTAGAGCTGACACTTTAGAAATTGCTGTAAACGGTAACTATGTTTATATTGTTTCTAATGTGGTACAAACAAATATTTTTGTCTGTCTCTTCCAGTGGGTATGCAAATTTCCGATTACGACTTTTAAATTCCAAATATCTAAATGGAAGTATTATCGTATTGAAAAATGTGCAGTAGTTATAGGATCGCACGATCACGATACTCGTCATTCAGAAACGACACAATTTATATATATATATAATCGTCTGCATCTCACAAGTTCGTCACGTAGTCGTGGATTTATGGTGGTATTAGACGCACAGTAGTTTGCCTATGAGAATCCGCACCCACGCCGACTGTGTCGCGAAATGTTGGCACGGAAGTGCTCCAACAAGTTCTCCCAATGCTTCAGCTATTGATGATGGACGATCAACTAAATTCTCAAGATTTTCTGCAGTAATTGTAGCTTATTAATAATTTTTAATACTCGTGTAGACTTATAAATTTAATTAAACAAGAGAATCTATCGTTGAAATTTTCGAGAAACTTTGTAGATTAAATTTCACCGTAAACATCGATACATTGAGTTGTTAATTTAATTTACTCTTTAATTTATTAATTTAATAGTTGCGTGTACTAGTAACAGGCTGTTTTAATTCTTTATAGTTGAACGTTATTGAATGAATAATTTTTTTTCACTCGAACATAAAAAATATATTATTCTACAAAGGGTGAACGAATGTTTTCGAAACTTGTACATAGTGTTACATCTCTTTTATTCAAAATTTAGTGTATCCATCATTAAATGCACCGCGCAGTTAGCTTAAAATAGTTTTTCACATCCGTGTTAGAGTCTGAATTATTTATTGATCGTGGTGTGCCCTCGTTCGTATAAATATTTGAATTTTTTCCTGAGCCGCAGCCGCATCCAACTTTAATCATCGAGGAGTACGAGCCCGACGTGTTCCGTCAAGTGATAGAGTACATTCACACCGGTTGCATTATCCTGCAGCCTAGAACATTGTTAGGTAAATAAATATTTCATAAAAATTATTAAATTATCATTATTATATGTAATGTACCATTTCATATATCTTTATTACCTTAGACCATTTCTAACGTCTATAATAAAACATCTTTCTTATATTGTTTTATTTTTCAAAGTACCTTCTCCTTCATTTAATTAAAAATTTAAATAGTACATATAAACTGTTGTAATAAATAACTGAGAATATGATTAAAATCTACCTCCCTCTTTCATAAATTATTACTTATACAATTCTTTTATTTCCAAATCAATCTGTTCTCCGAATTTATTTTTAAATAATAAATTCATTCAATGAAATTTCATTAAACTCATTTTCGAATTTATTTTGTTTGAAATGGTGCAACTGTGTAGCATTCTATTGAAACTTTCTTTAATGATTTTTATACCTATGTACATTATATTGTCCATTGAAGTATAAAAACTGATGTAAAAGATATTCTCATTTTTTTTTAAGGAGTAATGAATGCCGCGGATTATTACGGCTTGAACCAGCTCAGAAGTGCCTGCGCTGGATTTGTTCAATGCTGTATAACCGTGGATACTGTCTGCGCTTTATTGGCGTCTGCCGAACGATATATTCAGTACAAATGCACGAAGTCCTTGGTTCAGAAGGTAAACCTTATATAATCCTAACGTGGTGAATTGTAATTAAATTTTAATAGAAACAAAAGTTTGGAATTGGTTCATTTCGAAATTAATTATTTTCTCTGCTGGAAAATTGTTCAGAATAAAGTGATTAAAATTTAAAAATCAAATACATCGAATAAAATAATTAAAAATCATTGAAAATAAATGATTTATCGAAGACTTAAATTATTCAATAATAATAGTCTTCTGCATTTTGCGTAAATTTTTAAATAAATCCCACGTGTATTTTTTATTTCTGATAGGCACTTATAATTATATATAAACTCAGTACAACCATAAAATCATTCGCGTGGATTTGCCATCTGTTTTGATTTCACATTGCACAAGATAAGGAGATATCGTATTGAAAGTATTAATAATGCAATTATATTAAGATAAGATAAAGGTATTCGTAAATATTTAAACCAACAATTTAATTCATATCTTACGTAACAGTGGTAGATAAAGTTTTATCGCATAATAATTGATTAAAATCTGCGTATCGCTTGGATAGAACACCCACTCGTTAAGATCGAAATTGGTTTAGTAATCTTGATCACCTTATTGCTTCTTAAAATGAAATGAAAAGATTTGATAAGAGTGTCAAACGTTTTTTTTTTGTGAGCACACAAAGTAATACTCAATTAATTTTCTAAATACGAATATTATTTATCCGTTCTTTACAATTATAAGTCAAATTAAAGTACTTCTTTTGAAAGTAATAATTAATTTTAGCTTCAAAATAAGTATTGGCTTGTATTTCCTTTTTGTTCCTATAAAATTATTAACGAGGAAATTGAATTAATGGAAAAGGAAGTCGTGAAATAAATTCGAAGACAAAGGGTTAATTGTTCGCTGGTAATATTTACAGGTCTTGGAATTCGTCGACGAACATGGCAACGAAGTGTTGAATTTAGGATCCTTCACTTTGCTCCCTCAACACGTGGTCCGACTGATTTTAGCGAGAGAAGAGCTGCGCGCTGATGAATTCACCAAGTTTCAAGTAATTAAATATAAATGATTTAATAACACGTAATACTAACAATATAGTTAATTCGTTTTGTTAATAGTGTTACCGACTCGCAAAATAAATAAGTAAAATAGATCAAGTAGATATATTCCGATGTATAGATATTTTCCAGTAACTTATTAATGATAAAATGATTCCGACAAACACGTTAAAATAGATCATAAAACAAACGACTAATATTCATCCTATTTTTCGATAATGTTAAGGAAACACTGTATTTTCCATTCTCACATTGTCTTTTTTCTGTTTCCACCAGGCGGCCTTAATGTGGAGCAAGAAGTACTGCGACAGCAATCAAAACGTCAGCCTGAAAGATGTGATAGGGAATTTCCTCGAGTACATTCAATTCCACAAGATCCCAACGACCGTGTTAATGAAGGAGGTCCACCCATTAAATCTGGTGCCTTCCGCGACCATCATGAACGCGCTGGCCTATCAGGTGCGTGTTGTCCTCGAGATACCTGCGCGCAACATTCTCTTGTTGTCATTTCTTTCCGTTATCGCGGTAGTTCACCGCTCGATCGGCACTTTCGATCGTAATCTGCTAACAATCTTGTGTTTCTAGTATCTCGACATTTCTGTATCCTTATTTACGATCTAGATTCACAGTTTCCATTTCTTTTTCTTCTCTATATCTCGCAAGGCTCGTCGATCGTTTATCGAAAACGAAAACGTTGACACCCATAACCTGATGAGAATTAATTATTCAGCGACACACTGTTACAAGCAGCGCTTTTTTAATTTAGCTCCAGGACATTAGTCTGTGAATTTACCTAACAAAACGAACTAGAACGTACATGCTTCACGAAGGTAGTAACCGATTAAACAAATCTGCTCGATGTACGTGTCCCGTTGGTTCCGCCCAAAAATACTTGAGAGGAATCGCAGTAAGATTACGTTCCTGTGTGATTGTCCTGTTCCCTTGGAAATCTCGAATTTTTTTATACACGAAGAGTGAAGTGTTAAGTTCTTATTGAGTATAGGAATTAGTGGGATTATTTTGTTGATTAATATAGCTTGAAGATTTATACTTATTTTTAATGAATTTTGAAGTTAATTTTCAGTATTTAAATTTGTAAATTAAGCGAAATCTAATGATATTTTAATAGCTTGAATTTACGCTTCTCATGAGTATTGTCATGTTAATTTATACGTGTTTGATTGTTCAATTAATTAAAATATTTAAGTTTTATATGTAATTTACGTATAGGTATATAAATTATTTTTATTAGAAAGATTTATTAATTCAGAGATAAAGGAATGATAAATTGGTTAATTAAGTAATTAAGTTTTTAGAGATTTTTGGGAAAATATTGACCCCGTTCCTTCCCACACCCTTCTGTTTGTACCTTCTTAAACCTTTTTTAAGCATGCTGAAATAACAGTGAATAAATCATGGAATATTCGCTGCTCTCGTTCAGTCGTTCGAAAAACAATACAAAAAAGTTTCATTAAAGCATTGAATCTATTCGTGAAGTGTACCCCACATAATTTTTCACACTCCTATATAAATAATGAGTATGCATTTATATGTACAAAACTTTTTCTTTATAAATATATTTATACACAGTCGAACTTTGAATAGTTGAAGCATTGCAACGTGACCCCCTACTGTTGAATTTCGTTTAGTAATGGGATCAAGTTCAAAATAGTGCATTACATATTTTATCTACATTAAAAACTAAACTTTTAATTTTTTCTTTCAAAATACATAATTAAGAGTTTTATTTCTTTCAGATTTTCCGTCGAAATAAAACAATTATTATTATATTTCAAATACTACAGATTTGTCCAATGTTTGCTAAAAACAATTTCACAAAATTTTAATGCAACTCAATTAAAACGAAGAAGATTATGAATTAAATGATACACCCTGCATAAACGTAAAACTTCGCTGTTTGTTCATGACTACTATCTTCGATTCTATCAAGCATGCAATACATGGCAGATTCAATCTCGCAGTATCAGTTTTGAATACAACTTCCGGCGAGCTTGGTCCTATCGCTACTATTGTCCCCCTCCGTATTGATTGTCGATACACTGCCCTTAACAGAGTCGGGCAAAATGTAATCTGATTACACGATACCGATGACAAGGAAATGCAACACTTAATTCGAAGAAAAATTGCTTCCTGCACTAGCGTCATTATTAATGATTATAAGAAATTGCTTGTGACCTACTCTAAGAAAAATCGATGAATGCCAAAGTCCATTACTACTAAAACCATCAGATGCATTAAAATGTCTCACGCCACAATTCGTCTTTCACAATTACTAAAGAAAGATACAAGTTCTTTTAAAATTGATAATAAATCAACCTCAGAACTTCAATAACTGCACTTCTGCAATTTATACATGAAAATACCAAGTCCAATATTAAGATAGAGTAAGCCAGCCAAAATTCAACACTTCAAGTTCGAGTCCTATTAATCTCAGGATACGTTTATAGAAAGGCAACTGTATAAATCAGAAATCATCAATTCACAACACTCGTATCTTTGATTAATTAACTAAATTTGCCACTATGCGTTCCTGGTTTCGCTCTAATGGGAGATCCGCTACATACCCTAACTTTTTCTCGAGAACTTCGAAAACATCTTTTTCATAACAAAACGACGATCAGATTAAATTCTGCCTAACTCTGGCTCAGCCAGCCAGCCAAAGTAGAGATGAACGTCCCCGAAAGAGTCCCTCGTTGTACACACGAGCAGCGAGCATCGGTAGTCGATCATCCCGAAGTCCCTTGACCAGAGGGTTTGTTGCAGGCAGACCCGACCAGTGTCGACCCGGACAAACACTCCCCCCACAGAGTGAGGCGCCAGGGTCGCTGCATGTCGGTGCAGTCCTCCCTGGACCCGTACGGTAGCAACACGACACTGAGCTCGAACGGTTCCGACGCGGGCTCCGACCAGAAGCAGCATTCAGGTAGCAACTAACCTCCGGCCACGGCCGCACTGAACGCGGCCGTATCGGACGGGCCTCGACGCGAGGAAATTCCTATTAACGATGCAGTCTCGCATCCGGTTGAAGGTAAAAACAGCGTAGCGGAGCAAGACTCGACCGGCGAGCAGCCGCAGCCGATGCAGCAGCAACACCAGCTAGACCAACGGCCGAAAACACCGAGGCAAGAGGACGAAGAGGACCTGCAGCGTCAGATCGAGCAGAGGATACAGCTTCAGCTGCTACGCCAGGAGCAAGAGCAGAAGAGACAGGAGGAGGAGGCCAGGATGCTGGAAAGGGAAGAGGAGCTACGGAGACAGATGGAAATGGACGAGAAAGGGAAGAAGTCCGAGGATAAAGATGGAAAGGAGTCGAAGAAGGACAAGCAGGAGAAGAGGAAGAAGAGCAAGAAGTCGAAGAAGGAGTTGAAGAAAGAGATGAAGAAGAGGGAGAAGGAGGAGGCGGAGGAGTTGAAGAGGCAGGAGGAGTTGAAGAGGCAGGAGGAGGAGGAGATGAG